TCTGATTTTACAAGCTCCAAGGCGATTTTTGTTTCTGTCATACAGGCTGTGTTTGTAGAGGCTCCTGTTATGCATTCACTGGGGAGTTTGTCCCAGAAATTCCCTGAGCATAAACAAGCGAGGTCAGTCTGTTTTTGCTGCTCTAACAAGCTCCAAGAATATTGTCTGTTTTCTGTACTCCTGAGATTTTATCATGAGTAAAGTACACTGTTTATTAAAATATTTAATTGATTGTTTTAATCTGCTCTGCTTGCTTTATACGTAATGTTTATTTTCAGACAAAGGTAGCAAGTTCTGAACTTCAAGTATTATTTTTATGTTACTTTGTGAATTTTTACTGATAAATCAAATTCTTTGCATATCTTGTCGGCAGGAACACACACACATCTTCCCATCCACAATAGCAAATATTGTGTACTTTTTCTTGTTTTTCGAAAAGAAATAGGCGGTATTCCAGCTGAAACCAGCGCAGCAATGTAAGTTGTGCTTCATCCTTCGGCCTCTGGTTGGCGTCATACACGTCATTGCATTTCATTGGTCCAAAACATGTCTGTATCAATGTTAACACATATTGCAACAATTGATTTTTTGCCTGCAACTTAACCTTAGACCAGCTCTGGCAGATCAAGAACATTTTACATAAGTAGGATCCAATGTTTATACAGGGTGCCAGTGATCGATCCCTGATTTTCTCTTTTACTCTAAGGATGGCAATGGCTGTGCTGGTAAGCACAACACCTCACAAAGAGATTCAAATCTGATATCTCTGCATTAGGTTTTATACCGAGAAAAAATACATACCAGGTGGTCCAGTTTTATTTGCTATATTTCTTGACTTTTTGCCTTCCTTCTCGTCATTAGTTTCCTCTGCATTAACTTATTTTATTTTTAATTTAATTTATTTTCCCTCTCTCATTCTGAAATCCTTTTATTTTCACCACTTCGACATTATGTTCCCCATCCTCACTCATTTCTGAACCTGTTTAACATTCAGCATTCTTAATCACCTGTGACCCTCATGGTCTCTCTATCATTCTTTCCCAAATCTCAATCTCATCGCTCATATTTTTGTCAGAAAAACTAGAAACATTTAGTATTTAAATATTAATTTAATAGAATGATAAAGTGTTGATGCTGCTCAGTGGAACAGTGGGTAGCACTGCCACCTCGCAGCAAAAGGCTCTGGGTTCAATTCCCAGCCTGGGGTCTTTCTGCATGGAGTTGCATGTTCTCCTTGAGCATGCGTGGGTTCTCTCCGGGTACTCTGGCTTCCTGCCACAGTCCAAAAACATGACTGTTAAGTTAACTGGCTTCTCTAAATTCTCCTCGAGTGTGAGTGCGAATGGTTTTTGTTCTGTTTGTCTCTGTGTTGCCCTGCAATGGACTTGCGACCTGTCCAGGGTGGACGCCGCCTCTCTCCCTTAAACGACTGGAGATAGGCTAAGCACCCCTCGCGACCCCACTTGGGATAAGCGTAACAGAAGATGGATCGATAAAATTTAATAGAATATTTTTTTTAAATGATACCAAGACCAACATTTACAAAGGTCATAAAAGCAGTTCCATTTATTAATCTTGGTCTCTCTGCAGAAAATATTTTATTTTAACAAATATATATATAACATAGCTATTTTTTATATATATAATATGCATTACTATCTATTATTTCGTTTTTGAATATTAATGTTTAACTTGAAAGCTGCAACGGCACTTTGGACAAACAAAGGATTAGTGATCACAAGAATTTTAAAGATATAAAAGTAGGGAGAGCAGCTGAGGGGCATGGTTCTACAACAGGAGAGGGACTTGGCCCTCATAGCCCACCTATAGATCCGCCTCTGTTGGTGTCATACTTTAACATCATCTAGAGATCAAGTGACCAAATTGAATAAATATGGGAAATAATGACATAAAATACCTTGTTCTTAACCATAAGTGTGGAAGAGACGGACAAATAGTTCAGATTTCATCTTTTATTTTAGTAGAAACTGTAATGATGCTGAACTTTTGTATTATTTTAGTGTAATTGTGGACAATGTCTATCTGTGCAGTATATTTGCATCAAGCCAACTGTTTTTAAAAGCCAGACCGCCCAACTGGCTGAAATGATGACGAGACATACATGAGAATTAAAACCCATATGCAAGATATCACCCAGATGCAGGGGCAGAGATAGATGGGTGGCCAGGGGTGGCCATGCCCAAGCATTGTGGCTGTAATTCACCCCCTCTGGAAAAGCAGTTCTCCTCTAAACCAGAGGGGGGCAGCAGTGATACTGTCAAGTGAATGTCTTAAATAATTTGTCATATGGTTGCTACTTTATTACCATAAACTGAAATTTAAAACACAGTAATGATTTATTCACATCAAAATAGTAGCATTGAATAACTACAATATGTAAGGATAATCATTTAATTTGTTGCTTTTTTTTCAATTATTCAGTCAATAATTAGATAGTAAAAATTCCCCAAAGATTTTACACAAAATTCAAACCAAGTGAGACTAAAACTATGCCAATTCAGCAGTTCTGAATATTTTTATTTTTTTTATTTTGGTATATTTGCTGCTCCAGTTAATTATGAATTTATTATAAAATTATTTGCAGATTATATTGATAATTAAGAGACAAAGTATTTTTTATTGTTGAATATAAGAGATTTGCAGATATATAAATTTTAAACATATGTTTATACATTTGTTTAGATTTACTCATATCTTTCTCCCCCTTTTATACCATTACAATTGCTTTTATTTGTTCATGCTCCTGGTGGTTGTCACCTTTATCCCACTCTGTATTCTCAGGAGTGTAATATTTGTTAACTTTACATAGTAAAAACAAGAAACTACAGAAAGAAAAAGAAGCAGCACAGAATTCTGACTTTTTCTTCAGAATAATCTCAGAATTCTGACTTTAATCTCAGAATTCTGACTGAATTCTGACAGCTAACAAACATGTTAGCAACATGTCATAGCCGTAGTCTGTTTTAGAGACTAAACTAGCTCTTCTCTTTCAATCACCTTCTGCTCTTCCATTAATGAAATAGCATCACTGGGACCCCTGGGCACGTAAAACGTCATCTAATTCCATCATTTTCCACCAATGTGTTACTGGCCCTCCCAGAAAACTCTCAACTTTGATAGTGAAGCTGAGTGCTCCCACATCTCTTCCTTCATGGTGCCCATCTACATTAAGATCCAAAATTCTGAGATTAAAGTCAGAATTCTGAGAAAAAAAGTCAGAATTCTAAGCGTAAAGTTTGAATTTTGAGAAAAAAGTCAGAATTCTGAGAAAAAAAAATCAGACTTCTGACTTTTTTCCCATATTAAACAGAAATAAAAATTTTATTTTTTCAGTGGACCTAATCCTCTTCCGTATTTTACGCATTTTATATTTATACAAAACCTTATCTAAGTTTGAAAAAATTACATAAAATTCCAGTGAAATCATGCTTTATTATTTTGACATGGCAAGACGTAGCAAAGGTTTGCAGAAACAATACAAGGCGTATGCACTGATGGAAGAGTAATGTCTCTGTGAATTGTACATTTGATGTTTAGGGAGATTCTACATATATAAGATAAATTCTAAGATTAAAGTCAGCATTCTGGGGGGAAAAAAGTCACAATTCTGTGAAAAAAATTACAATTCTGAGATTAAAATCAGAATTCTGGGATT